TATTTTTTCCACCTTTTTTCATGTTCAGAACCAAATGCATCACTCCCAGAGGGTGTAAATCCAGTTGATGTTGCAGCCCTTTTGAAGTGTTATATTGCAAGCCTTCCTGAGCCGTTAACAACTTTTGAGTTATATAATGAAATCAGAAATGCTCGCTCTAGCATACATCTGATGAGAAATATATTGAAGAGGCTTCCTACTGTCAACTATATGACTCTAGAATTAGTTACTGCACTTCTACTCCGTACTAGTCAAAAGTCTCTTCTTAACAAGGTAGATTCCCCCCCCCCCCCCACCCACCCAAACACACACCATCACTCTCTCTCTCTCTCTCTCTCTCTCTCTCTCTTTGCGTGTGTGTGTGGGTGTGTGGGTGCATGCCTATGATAAATAACTTGTTGCTTTTATTGCCTGGTATAATCTAATTTGGGAGCATACATGATAATAACCTTAATTGGCTTTTCCCCAATATTATCCTATCTCTGAACTGTTTAATTTTGAGTCCCTCATTTTTAAGCCTCTGTTTAGTTTGGCTAAAAATCAAATGTTTAGTAGATTTTAATAAAACCTAAAGAATTTTTGGTTGGAAAGTTGATAAAATTTGTGACCCTATAAAATGTGTGGTTGAAAATGAGTTTGGAAAAATTGGGGTCAAACAGGGGCTAAATCCGGTTGAAGGATTGCTCCTGTGCCACATGTGTTGTTCTGTTACTTGTATATCGAAGTTTATATACCGTGATAAGGGACTCTTTCACTTTCTCCCCTATCTGTTTCATCTCCTGTATGTAAATAATTTTGAAAAGAAATACTTCCAATAATTCTGAGCCAATCACATATAGAACTTTCGAGTTTCTGAGCCAAGTTATAGCACAAGAAAGTTGAAGTATTTAAACAATTGGACACAAATTCTCTTTCCTCCTAAGCATTACATCTACTACTACTAAGGATTCCCACTTTTGTTCATTATTGCATGGGAACTCTTTCATACTTCTTGACACATTCAGGCACCACTGCACCACATCACTTATTGGAGCACCCTGACTATCCCTTGCCCACTTTTCACTGCCTCTGAAGTACAATGCACTCAATGTGAAGTTTTGTGTTGATTATCAACCTACTATTACTTTCACCCTTTATCCAAGTTGGTACAGGTTATGAAGATTTGTAAGCGTAAGTTGAGAGTAGTTGAGAATCATAACTAAAGAAAATATGTTTTATGGCTAATTCTAGAAACATGTATTATATATGAAAGTAAACTCTTTGGATTCAGCTATTTTGTCTAGGCTTCAGTGTAGCTTAAACTTTGTTAT